GAGACCCTCAGCGGTCAATAAGAGCACTCACACTGAACAAGGGAATGCCACCTGGTGGGGGATAAACCCTGAAATCAAGGAAACCAGGTCGTAGAAAAAGGAAACTAGTTTACGAGAGGCCCACAGAAGAGTGATTTTTGGCCTGTAAACACTGTTCAGTTTGTTCATTTAAGATTTGAAAAGGAAAGATAAAAGCTGATTGGTAACCACGGGCAACTACTCCACATTCTGTCAACTTCAGTTTTGATGAATTCCCTTTGGTGAGTCTAGATTGCGGTGGGCAAACTTTGGGCCCTCCAGCTGTTGTGGAACTACAAATCCCATTAGGCATTACAAGATTCTCACAGCCACAGTCATCACTCCCAGAGACAGATGCATCATGGGATTTGTAGTTTCACCACAGCTGGACGCCCGGAGTTTGCCCAGCCCTGGCTCTAGATAGACCCATGTAATGGCTTCCTTCTCTATATCTTCCAAATGCTTTAAAATGGCAGTTTATACACAAAACGTAATGTAATACGGGACATTATTGTGGTGTCATCTCTTAGGTACAGCTTGTGCTTTTAAAAGTGTATTAATATGGCCGCTGGGATCCTTTAAGAACAAATAAAAATTGGGTGGGGGAGGAACTTAACAAAACTGGGGCAGAGAGAATCTGGAGCAGTTGCCCATGGTAACCAGCTTCTTTCTTCAGTTCAGCTTTGAAAATGAAAGACAGAAGCTGATTGGTTGCCTTGTGTATATTCTGTCTGCCTCAGCCTTGATCAATTGTCTTCAGCGAGTCTTAAAGGAGAATTATGAGGCGAGTGATTTTCACTCAGCCTCATAATCTGAGCCGACCTGTGACAATGAAACTGTTAGAGGTCGGCTCAGTAGATCGAGAAGTGAGCGAACACATACCGGCGCTCGCTCACTTCTCGATCTATCCGTGCAGAGCTGTGACTGTCACTCACGGCTCCCTGCAGGGATTCCCCCCCAGCGCTGGAGGATCGGAAGGGGGAGGGTACAGCTGGCTCTGACTCTAGATAGGCAGAGCCAGCTGTCACTCATGCAGCTGGGCGGATCCAGACAGAATTGTCGGGATCCGTTCCGGCTGCGGCACCTCAGTATACCGCGAGCTGTAGCTCGCGGTATACTGAACTTTGGGTGACGGGAGGGCGCTGGTTTGTGTCCTCCCATTACCCTTAGGAGAACTATGGGACAAAGCCCTAACCCCATAGTTCTCCTTTAATAGAACCATACCAGGGATTCCTTCTCTACATCTTCCGATTGCTGTAAAATGGTAGTTTATATACAGGGTAAAGGTGGATATATAGATATATATGTAGGCTTATTGGAAGTTTCTGCAAAAAGAAATGTTAAAAGCTGGGAAAGGCCTGGACATTTCCCAGCCTGGGTCACACACTGAAATACTGGTTGTCCACCCCAAAATCCCAGCACATCATAGCCAGCTGAATATTACCCATGTAACTATAATGGAACATTTACTCTAAACAACATAACAGTCCTTCTTTACCCAGCACTGTAAAGGAATGCACAACACAAATTACACAAAATGAGACCATCAACACAAATACAACACCCAATCCAAATGCAACACACCTGTCTCCAAGGACAACGCCCATACTGCCGGCGGCCGCTGATGACGTCACCGCGACGTAAGGCCGCGGCCGAGCTCGTTCAGTGCTTACCGGCGGTTACCATAGAGACGTCTGAGAAGCCAGTGAGCCGTTCAGTCACGTGGGCTGCCGTGTTGGACCGCCTGGAAGCCTCGGGGGGGTTCTCGTTACTTAGTCGGCCCAGTTGCATGCTGGGACATTGAGTTCCACAGTACCTGGGCGGCCTCAAGGAGCTGCCGGGTGATATCAATGAACACAGACAACAGCACAATGTGAATCAATTTCTTTATAAACACATAGCTGGACCAAATCAGTTGTTTTTAGGGCATACCAACTATCAAGGTTGTCATTCTGCTTATTTCCGCTCAGCCTAACATTCATTCTCTTAAAAATGGCTGGTGTATTAACTGATCACATGTGCATCAGGAGTCGCCAAGGTCTGAACCGATCGCGCTTTGTGTGCCATTATTTTCTAATGGCACCCCAGTCAAGCCGTGCGTCGTATATCACAAAAAAAGGTACTTGTACCTTTTTTCTTTGATTGCCGTGCTGATGTCACCCCTTTGAAATCAATGGGGTCACCTCATAGTTCTAGCCGACCTGTGACAATGAGACTGTCACAGGTCGGCTCAGTAGATCGGGAGGTGAGCGAACACATACTGGCGTTCGCTCACTTCTCGATCCTGTCACAGCTCTCTGCCGTGACAGGGGAAGGGCTGGATTCTCCCCGCCCCGATCCTCCAATGGACGGGGGAGGGGGCGGGCGCAGCTGGCTCTGCCTCTAGATAGGCAGAGCCAGCTGTCACTCATGCAGCTGGGCGGATCCAGACATAATTGTCGGGATCCGTTTCAGCTGCGGCGTCTCAGTATACCGTGAGCTGTAGTATACTGAGCTTAGGGTGACGGGAGGACACTAGTTTGTGTCCTCCCGTTACCCTAAGGAGAACTATGGGGAAAAGCCCTGACCCCATAGTTCTCCTTTAAGGTAGCACAGGCTGCCAATGCACTACAACTGTCACAAAAAATGTGAATGACCCTTTTTTTTTAAAATGCAGCACATCACATGTTATGTGCATTGTGCAGTGCTGCATTGTGTGGTGCTGCAGTGAGCCGTGCATTGCACTTTAATGTACAGTGTGTGCATTGCAATGTACTCAGGGCCGGCGCTAGACTATTTTGTGCGCTAGGCAAGACCAGCTACTTGCCACCACCAGGCCCTCTCCTGTGGCATAAACAGGAGAGCAATGAGCAATAGCCAGACTGCTATTGGCTATTTTAATTTTAAAAAGCCAATAGCTGACTGGTTATTGAAACCCCACCCACTGAGCAGATGAGTAGACCCGAGAGAGAGTGGTCTCTTGGTTCCGCTCTTCTGCTCAGTGGGCGGGTACAATAGCCAGCCTGCTATTGGCTTTTGCAATTTGAAATAGATGGGGG